TGATGGTGACAAAAGTACGCTTTCAGCCAGGCAGCAGGTTACCTTGGAGGAAAATCATCCCAGAGGGCAAAACTTTTCAGGCTGTGTCATTAGCGTTGTCGATAGGAACCTGTAGGGGAGGGAATCACTTTTAACATCAAAGCTGAGGAGAGGTGCTTTGGAAAAGCAGCCTCTTCTTTCTGTCTTAATTGGTGTGTTTAATGGAAAGACTGCATTCACCGGCCTGCGTGGCTGGAACGGTGGAGTGATACCTGCCGTGGGATGGGGTCCTGTTCATCTCACTTACCCGTGAGCCATGTGATTTCCTGGGATTGCGACTGGCTAAGCAATGTGGGTAGGTCTCTGATAAGGAGAATGCAAAGTATAACTCATACTGCAGCTGCGTGGGTTGGCGCACTCTTGTAGAGGGAAAGGCAATCGGGACTTGTAGTAGGGATGATTATTAGACCAACAAGATTTTTGCAAAAAAATCTCTTTAATTGCAAGCTTTCGGGCACAAAACTTGCAATTGTTCTAGAGGAAGCATCTACAAAACTGTCTTTTGCTCTTCTGTGCTACCCAGTGGTCTAATGGGACTGAAGCACCTAACCAGCTAATTACCCGGAGGCTCTGGGCTGTTGTCTTTGGACAAATTATGACATTTTGAGCTGATCCAAACGCAGTGCAAACAGTGCTGCAGCGAAGACGTGGAAGGTGTGAATGCTGCAGTGGTGGCACACAAATGCAGTTTGCATCGGGGACTTTCACCCTGATCAAAAGCAAGTGGGGTATTACTTCCTTACGTCTGGCTCTGTGGCTTACTATTCTGTTTGTAGCTGAGCACGCGTCTCCTTCCTAGGCATCGCAGCCATGATCCTGAACACCGACTCGGCGCTGACGATCTCGGAGCTGAGGCAAAGGTTAATACACTTCTCCACCAAAAAGGTGATCAATGAGGCCTGGTTCCCTGAAGACCAGAGACTGATCACACCCAACAGAGTGGCAGCCCTGCCGGCCAGACTGGGAGCAGGTAAGTCACTTGTGCACCCGAGTGCAGCTACGCATCAAAAGATGTTCCAGGTGGTAATGCTGCCTTCATAATAACACAGAGATGTGCACGATTGAAATGGCACCCAGCTGGGCAGGGTGTGTGCAACTCTCCTTCCAGTTAGCGACTTGGAAGCTGCGGTGTTGCTGTCTCTATATGGGATTTTGTAGAGAGAGCAGAGAATTTTACTCTCCTTTGCAACTCCTTGGCCAACGTCCACGAGCACTGTTTGGAGTGGAAATCGATAGTCGCATTGCCAGGTTACTTTGGCTCAAGAACAAATGTGGCACCTGCAGCGTTAGTCTTGCTTGGGATCGCACAGCCTGGACTCAAGCGCGGGCTTGCTGTGCTGCACTGATGCCCAAAACATCCCTTTTCAGATGAGCCGTTGTACTGCCGCTCCGTGTGGTCTGCCAGGTCGGGGTCAACTCGCTCCGCGACAGCAGTCGCCCGCTGCACTGGGAACGAGGAGATGCTCAGCTGCTCCAGCTTCTCGCAGAACGGCAGGAGGCGAGGAGAGCACGTAGAGGTGATTTGCTGGCAGCCTGTTGTACTGCCTCATTCGTGGAGTTATATCCATTTATGCAGCCAAACTTTCCCTTGGCTCAGCAGATATTTTGGCTCAGCCAGGGCTGTGGGATCCAACCCTTAGAAAAGAGCCTTTGTTGGGAGCAACCCTCGAAAGGCCCTTGAAGCTCCACTGAATGATAGCTAGAATTGATAGCCTGTGCTCTGATTGTCCGCTGCTTCATGTCTCCCACCTCCCAACAGCTGTGGAGGCGATGACGTGAGACAGGCTGGGGAAATCCTGTGCGGTGACAGCCCGTGCTATTAAATGGGTAAAGACGAAGGACTTCTCTTGACAAACCCAATGACTCGAGGCTTTGCCTCGGGCAAACGTTGCCTCCCCTACCTGGGCTGGATTGACCATCGGCCTCCTAGTCAATTCACTTTTAAAAGAAAGGTGGTCTCACGAGCCACGTCAGGTCCTAAAGGTCCCTTCAGAGGTTTTTATCCATCTCACACCTGACACTCGTGTACAGCATGGTGCATTTCCTGGCTCTGAGTTGTCTTTACACCTGTGTTTTCTGAATCGCAGGACCACGGAGGCAGGCGAGAATGCGTGGCTCACAACGCACTTGGAGGCAGCAGTGTCTACGCCATCGCTCGGTGTTGCATTTGGCCTAAAGCACACTGCCAGACTCATGCCAGCTCCCAAGCCATGGAGGGGGCATTGACCTCAGCTGTGGGCTGCTCCAAGGAGAACCACATTTTGACAGGTACTGTAGAGAGTATCTTGTTGATACTTGAAGGGGCAGGTATTTGATCTCACCTCATTCCCTGCTGGATGAGGCTGCCCAGGGACACGCCAGGTTTCATGGAGCTCTAGGCAGTTGGAGAATTAAACTCTGAAGGATTAAAGCTAATTTGATACGATTCACCAAATGCCCATTCTGCCTACTGCTTATCTGCCTCTACAATAAGAGTAAGCCTGTCACGCTTGGGAGGCTCAATTTGATATTCATTGGGCGCATCTACATGTGCTGATTTGAGGCACTTTAGCCTGATTTAAGGTGCATTACGGGTGTGTGTCTACATGTGCATGCCTTTAATGCACCTTAATAATGACAATTTTAGGTTGTTCGTGCCTAAATTTGATACTTGCCAAATTTAGGCACGAATAGCTAAAGTGCATTAACACGTGCAGACGCATTAATGCCGTGTACGGACTGACTTGGGACTGACTTTACTCCCACATCAGTCTGCGCACATGGCATGAATGCACTTTAACGCGTGCATGTGTAGACATGAGCTTAAACTGCCTTAATGTGCATTAAACTAATGCGCATTAAATTTAGGCATGCCTAATGCATGTGTAGACATGCCCATTAAGTCCTTGAGGCTCCTTAGGTCTTATTTGTACACGGAGCTGGCTGGTTTGATCACTCGTGACCTAAGCAGCCAACTGATGTGTTCCTAATGCTTTCAGCTGTCCAGTCAGGCTGCTAATCTTGCACACAGGCTCCCCACTAGCATGCTAACAGGTTTGATGACTCAAAAAAGTTATCACTGCAGGTTTGCAAAACGCAAAATCGGTTAGCACCAAATCATCAGCTATCCCATGTGTAGGTGGCTTTTTACACGCCTGAGACATTTGCCTATTCAGCACCACTCCCGCACTGGTTCAACTGACAACTTCTGCTTTGGTGGGACCCCTCTCGGGTCCGTATCAGGATTGAGGTGCACCGGCGAAGCTCTTTTGGAGATGCCTCCCCAGCCTCACTTGTGCTCTTCTCCTAGTGTTTTCAAGGGCAGCTGATGGCCCTGGCACTTAATTACTCTTGAGAGCAGGCTCTTCTTGTTCATTTAGGAGCATTCTGTATTATTGGCAGGTTGTAGCTCCCATTCTCCATCTGGAGAGTTTAGTGACAACGTCAGACCTATTCTACGGACAGAAAACGGGCACGACCACTGTGTAGGTAGAAGTGACCTGGTCTCACACGCGTCCTGCTGCCATGCCCCCGGCCTCGAATGCAAGGTGAAGGAACATTCTCCCACGGACTTCACAGAACAGGTGAGGAGGAGCCAGTCACCGCAGGTATCGGCAGCATCCTTTCTGCTAAGCTCGTATGTTGAAATGGTTATCTAAAGTCTGTGGATCTTCTAGAAGAGAGGGTCTCCCAGTGCAGCTGCTTTACACTTCCTCACTCCAGCTGTTTGCCATCAGTGGAGTTGCACCTGTTTGCATTTGTGCTGAACTCGGCTTCAGCTCAGTTCCCCATGCAGGTGGGATGTTTTGGCAGGGTGGTTTAAGGTGTCTCCCTATGGTTCAGGTAGGAGAGTCAAAGCCTTGATCTGGGCTCATGTCAAGGGCTCTCTCTAGCCAATCTAGCTGTAAATAGGTGCATTCTTGGTAATTCGGGGAATGCAGAGAGGCCAGATGTGATGTCAGCCCCATGGCTTGCCTCTTTTACATGCTGTTGGTTGCAGAGACTGGCTTGCTTTTATCCATATGCCACCTGGGCTCAGGATATCCCTTGGATTTTTGTTGTGCCTTTGAAGAGCGATCTGATCCCTCTCTCTCTCAGGTGATGGTGTCCTGTGATGACGACTGGACTCTGACAGGATGCAACGCTTACTCCCGGGGTCCTGGCACCCTGGGTGCCTATGCTGTTGATGACACTTGCATAGTGAGGAATGCCCAGGGTGGCAAAGGGGCATCAGCCATCGCTATCTGCTGCAGAAAGAGAGAGCTGGAGGACAAGCACACCGCCAGCAACCAGTGATGACGCTGCGCAGGGGCACGGGGCACCTCCGTTGAGCGGAAACTCACATTGCTCCAAAAAAAAAATGCATTCCAAAAGGGTCGGAGCTGATCTGCCTCTACTCTTATTGTAGAGGCAGCTCTGGTCCCCCGCCCCCCAAGTCTGGTCGCTGCTGAGTGACACAGTAATTCGTGCGGGTGGGAGTCCTAACGCATCTACACTCCAAGTGCAGCTGTGCTAGGACATCCCCAGTTCCCAGGGACTAACTTTCCTTCTACAGGACCTTCTGCTCCACTGCATGTAAAATAAGTGCTAGCTGGGCATCATTTTGGTGTGGGGAGAACTCCTACCATGCAACAGTTGCAAGGTTTATTGTTCCTTTTTTTCCCCCTTAAAAATGCCAAGAAATGAGATTATGAAACTGGTCAGTCAGACGGTGGGAGGGTGACTTGTGTGCATCTGGAAGATGGTGCACTGATTGCACGCATTCTGGGTTAAGGAAGCCAAGAAACTTCTTGCTCATTTTGGAGCCAGTCTCCAAAATTCCCAGCATCCTGCATATTTGTGTCACCATCTCCCACCCCATCATACTCTTCCCTCCCGCTACCACCCTGTACGTGGCTGAGGCACAGAATAGAGGCTTTAAAAGTTTCAGGGCTGGCCAGTTCCTGGTATAGGAACAGATTTGTCTTAGAAGGCTGCCTCTACCTGCCTTTGTTCATAGGACGTGGGGGGTATAGACGCTGCCACTGAGGCAGGTCTGGCTGGCAGGAGCACCCATGGGCAGCCTGGCAGAGCTATGCTGGCATTAGCTCTGGTATTGCGGTGCCCAGACGCAAATTCAAACCACTTCAGCCCACTGCCCCCTTGGACTGCAAGTTCTGTGCTGATCCTCCAGGAGGTGCCGCACAAGTGTGCAATTGGCCAAAATACAAGCAGGGGTTTAATTTCTTGTTGGCTGTACTCCAGCTCCTTTCATTCTCAAGTGCCTTATAAACCCAGCATTGCTTTAGGTACTGGAGTGCTAGCCCAGCAGGGCAGAGCCAGGCGTGCCCTCCCCGTCTAAGACTGCTTTTAAGGATGAGAGAGCGGTGCAACCTGTGCGTGCGGTCTGTCAAGGGGGCATTTTCTCTTCTAGTGGACAGTCGCCTGGAGGAGCCGAGGCCAGAGAGTTGCCTTTGCTCTTCCAGGGGGCTCACTTGAGTTTTTGCCATGGCAGGAGTGGTCTGCAGTCTCCTGCTTTCCCATTTCAGTTCCTTACCTCCACAATGGTGTCAGGTGCCCTCCAACAGACCAGGCCATTGCCACGTACAGATCACCTGTTGAATGGGGTTCATCTAAGCAGTTCCAGGGATTTGCTTTTGGAGGGGAGGGGTTGGGTTTTTGTTTTACTGAAATGGCCAAGCTTCATCTCCCCTCTCCCAGCCCCTACTCTGAGGCATTGGCACCCTCCCCACACTGAGACTCACTCCTGGGGGAAAAGGAGAGAGATCCTCCGTGTGTCCTGCCTGACGGACCGAAACCAGGCATTTGCTTTCTGCAGGCCACGTAGGGGGATCAATGCCACAGCAATAAGCGTAGTAGTTCATTCATAGACAGAGCAGTCTCGTGGAGTTAATCCACACACTCTGCAGTTCAAACAGCCTACGACAGAAGAGAGCTGTCCTGATCTGAGCCCCAGAAGAGCCTACCGTCCTCTCTCACAATACATTGAGATTCCTTACTAAAATTTTACAACTGCTGAGCATTGTGGGGTGTGTTCACGCTGTCACAATGTCCAGGAAGAACATGAATCTTTTCAAACCGATGCACTGTTGCTGTGGCTTTTCTGTTTACTCATTCGATTCCTGCTGGACCGTTCAGCTAAACCACTAGCCTTTTTTTATATTAATCTCTTAGCGTGGCAGGTAGATCCCAGCTTATGCTTTATCAAGCTTGCAAGCTTTAGTTTAATGGCATGCTTACCGTTAGATTCACATATCTGCTGTCATTTGATTAGCATTTATTTAGAGAAAAGTTGATCGCTTGTTTTGCTTTAGCTGCTCTTTCAGGTGTTTCAGAGATGCATAGATGTTTGAACTCGCATGATGTGCTGCATTCACTTTTTTTTTTAAGGTACAGGAAAAGCTTTGCTAGTACTGTCACATTTTTAGCATTTGTATCTTGAAACTATTTATTTGGAGTTTTATAAACAGCACATTTTCTAATGGCGTCTTTTTAAAAATAAAGTCATACATCAATGCGTGTTGTTTGTATGTAAAACAGCAGAGTAAAACACTGTCATGTGTACCTGTGAGAAGACCACGACCTAAAGCACCTACATGGCAGTGGGCCAGGGACACCATGGAGGCTGATGGGATCTAAAAATTCGTTATTCTCTACCAATCCGTCTGCTTGTTCACACGCATGCATCACACACCGGACGACGAGCCGAACAGTGGCCGAATGCTTGAACAACAGATCTACCTGGTTCTTTGCTCTTTTAAATCATCTTAAAGGTATTGAGTGCAGAAGCTACCTGGTCTTTAAACTATTGCTACAGCTGCTTGTAATGATATTCAAGGGCCAACACTCAACCTATTCTATACGCGTGGCAATGAGAAGCAGGAGTGAGAAGTTCTGTTCAATCCAGGAACAAAGTGGGTGGTTCCCCTTCCTCCCCCACCCTCCCAACACGACTAACTGGTAGCTTTTAATCAAAGCAACCCCTTATTAAAGTACTTACAGGCTTTTTGAGTTCTGATACTCTACTTCTGAAATGCATTCATTTCCCTTTGATCATACCCATGAGCCCTGTTTATGCCTTCCTGCAGCTGCATTTATATTTCAGGCACTGCCAGATAAGGACACAGCTACAGTTACTGATTCTATAGGCTGATGCTGAGGGCACTCAAAGCAGGCGCGCCTGCAATCCACCTTCAGGTTTCCTAGCTCCTTGGCTGTAGGTCAGTCTTGGTCTGGTTCAATACTTATATCAAGTGGGGCTGTCCAAGAGAAGGGACTAAGGGAGAGCCTCTTCCAAATAGTCAGTGTGCGGAGGGTAAGATACTTGCATGCCAACACAAGGAATTACTTGAACGCGGGTCTCTTCTCTCCCAGTAAAGCTACTGGCTATTCTGGGGCTGCTGCCTTTCTGTTCATCACCGCCCCCCTCCCCAAGTGATCATGGTGGTTTTGGTGTCGCCCAGTTTCAGTAGCGGTGCATGGACAGGGTAATGAGTGCGCTGCTCAAACTTTTCAAAGGCTATTTGTTAAAATTATTTCTAACCACACTCGGCTGATGACACTGGAGGGGGCTGGACAGGGCCCTCTCGTCGTACATCACTACTAACAAAGGAAAGGGAAAGGAAGTGACAACTCTAATTCAAATTGGTCTGCTGTAGAACTATCCTCTGAATTTGGTACAACGAAAACACAGTTGAAGAGCGGACATAACTTACTAACTGGATCACCGTGGTACAGATAATCACGCTGGGCTGTAGTTGCAACTGTTAATAACCCTCAATGACCCAAGCATTAATCTGGGTGGAAGGTGGTTACGAAGGAAGGCGTCACAGGTTGTGCTTATGCAGCGGCAGTGCATGGTTTTCAGCTTGGGGGTGGAGGTAACTGGCAGCTGTATGAGCTGGGTTCCCATTAGGCACCGGCATCTCTATTTTTGTTTTTCTTTTTTTGGTCAAGACTCTCTCTTGTCTCCGACTGTGAAAAGAAAAGATTTGATTGCCCAGTGACTGCAGGGGTGCAGACAGAAGTGACAATTTTCGCCTGATCTGGCCACAGAAAGCAGTTTATAGCCACGACCAAATAAGTTCATGGCTGCAGACAGCTTCAAAAGTGGCTGATCAGATGAAAATCATTACCCTTCATTGTATGAGGGGTTAGATGAAGACGGTTCAAAATAGCGTCTTCCGTAACTTCTGTCTGCGCTGATGCCAGCCTTGAGCTGTTTTCAGAACGAGAGGAGGGGAAAGGGAATGGAGGGAGTTCAGTTCGGGGGTTTTCAGCCCCTGCTGAAGGTTGGGGTGAGTGTACTCCAACACACCGGCCCCACCATCCAGACCTGGGTGGGGAACCCTTAGAACAAGTTCCCTCTGCTCCCTTCCCCTCCCTCCCATTTTGAAACAGGGACAGACTGGGAGAGAGGAGGGGCTTTTGCTGGGGAAAACCAGATGCAGGCTGTGGCCAGCAGCTAGACTCCCCTCCCCCTGGAACCAATGTGAACATCTGTCTGGTCTCAGGGGATTGTCACAACTCAGATCGCTTCCTGCAAAGTGGGAGCTGCACTTCTGTCTGCGCCCCAGAAGCGCTTGGGACCAGGCTGATGTTATTGTGCTTCTTAGCTAAACGGTTCTGCATACAGTTTAATTTGTTAATACTGAAGTATCTTGAATAACAATTGATCAGCAGGCCAGCACTGAAAGAACACTCTAGTCATACTCTCTACAGGAAGACTTTCTTCTTCCACAGCAAACACTGCACTTGGAAGAGACTTGCAATGAAGACTGTAAAAGGAAGGACCGTTGTGCAGCTAGGCAATGCCATTTGTTCAATTAAACTGAAAAGGATGCCTCTGATGACCGTGCAAGTCGAGCACACACTCCACTTTCACAACCAGAGGTTTTTCTAGCATTTGTGTTCTCAGGAAAAGTAAACTGATCAATCTGAATTCAAGTGAGCTCCTGCTCACCTTAACATCTCAGATGCACAGGGTATTAAGAGCAGTAAAAGCTGTTCTTAGACTTCAAGTTATTTTTTAAGCAAGCAGAGCAAGTCTGAGGGATTCTGAACTCAGGACATCGAAGTTTGAGGAATGTTTCCACTTCACCTTAGAAATGACTTAAGAAAGAAGGCTGAAGGATATAAAATGTTGCTGGGTCAAATAGGAAAGCAAAATACAGGCTCTTTAGGGTTGGCCACAAACTGATGTAATAAAAGCTCACGAAAGGGTACTAGAAACTGTGTCATTCATCAGTGTTCCTGGTTTAGCAGGAAGATCAAAACTGGCTTTTCCCAAAACGAGGGAAAGCAATGAACAATTGCTTGCTGGCCAAAATGAGTGGGAATGGGACAATTCTCACTTTGGAGGCATAACTGAAGACAGCAGCATTATCTAGAGAAAGTTAGCATTTTTATAGTACCTTCAGCGCCCTCACATAAATCCTCCCAAATCAGGTGCGTCATGGTTTTTGCCTGGGACATGAGCAAAGCCCATCGATCCACTCGAGGACGGAGCGAGATCCACGACCACATAGTGTATAAGCCTCTGAAAAAAAACGTACTCCAACGCTCTCAACTGTTAAGCACGGCACTGTATTGACTGCAGGCCTTGGTTTCCTATCAAGGGATTAACACAATAGGTGGTGGCAGCCTTGATCTTGCTTGAAAACAGTTTCTTTGAGAGCACGCTGCTCTGTGGGCCTTTGCCAATTAAGAAGTCTTTATCCACAGGATGAAGTGAGTGGTAACAAGCATCTGCCAGGAAGAGCTTAGTTCTTTTAAGGAAGGTAGGGCTGTAACCAGATCCCTGCTTGATCACAACAGGAGACAAGAACAACAAAAGGACAAGTAGATTAAGCACCATGTATGCGTCCTGCTCCTGGCAGAAGGTTGTTCTTCTTTGAACCAGCACCAGTGGGAGTATTGAAAAAATCCAACTGCCTTCCAAATCACCTGCAAAAATAAATCAGCAATGCTTTGCAACCTGACACAGGGACCATTCAGACTTTAACCAGCCTAATCAGCAACTCGAAAAGCAGAAACAACCCAACACACCCCATTCAACTGCAAGAAGCTGGCAGGAATGAGTGCAAAGCTGTTACACTCACTCACTACTGTGCTTGCACACTAGAGACAGCTGGGTCAACAGTAGCACTAGAAAGGACCCACTGATGCTGAAGGAGAAGGCAGCAGCATGGAGGGGGCATCTATGGCAGGGCAACTTTCAGAGCTTGCCACCTGAAGGATTGGATCAGATGTTCAACAAAACAGCAGCATAACTGTGCACAATCTAAAGATTACACTAGTTTCTTTGAAAGGAATAACTTTATTCCATTGACCAGGAATCCCAAGGCCATTCACCAGGACTACCTAGGGCTTTTTTTTTTTTCCTCCTAGTGGCAAGGTTTATGCATAAATCAGACAAGTCTCTCCACGAGGGCGCGCGCACACGCTATGGCTGCTCCCTTACCGAACATTTTCGAAGAGGTATAAAAACATTTTCATCCAAAAGATCAGCAGTAAAAATTACAACAGAGAAACGTGGCACAATTCACACACACATTAGATTTTCAACTGCTCCCAAAAAATAAAATAAATCTTGCAATGCCGGCAGCTTGGAAACCGACTCATTTGGCCAGGTATCGTCTTACTGAAAGTGTTAACCACGGACATCGTACAAGCGTGAGCAGAACCAAAGGAGTTTGCAGTGGTTTGGAACGTACAGTGGTGACAAGCAAATGTTGGTGCCAAGACTTGTTGCTTTGAGCTGGAAGAGGGCATCGTTTCCATTGGAAATAATGGGAACTTGAAGCGACAAACGGACTGATGGTGGCCCATAAGAACAAATACTGACCATCATCTACTACGTCACCACAGTATGCTGACTGAGAAGATTTATGACCCGTTACAAAGCAATAGGAATGGGGAATGTAGGGGTGTCAGTAAGAAATGATTTATTCAAAATTAATTTAAAACATCACATTTAAAATTTCCCAGCACGGTATCAGAAACATTTATAAAACACGCTCGCTCGGCCACGTTTCAGTGAAGACGCTGTTTTGAAAAAAAGTGATATCCACTACAATGCCATCCTTACTCTGCACATGCAATTTATGACAATGGTTCTCTAACCTGCAATAAGTTATAGAGCTGTACAACTGAAATCATATTGGATATTTACTTCAACAGTGAAATGACTGGTTAATTTTAAGATTAGTGCACAACAGTGAAAAGCTGTCTGCCGGCTCTTGTTTCGGCAACAGTACATAAAAGTAAAAACAAAAAAAAGGCACTTTTTGGCTGGTTGTGCCTTTGACTTGGCAAATTTATCCGTTTTGGAGGTACCCAGGCACTCCATAAGATTTCCCCCTTTTCTGTGCATGTTTTGTGTTTTTTTTTTGTTTTTTTTGTTTTTTTTTTTTAAAGTAAGGCAGAATCCATAAATAAAGGCAAAAGCAGTGCAGAAAATGCGACAAACTCAAGATGCAAAATGTACAAAATATGAAAAGTCAATTGGCACAGAAGAAACTAGTATCCAGAGCTACTAGAGATCACAGAACTGTGTTTGACATGGAAAAGCAAAATGGTGCTCACGTAGTCCAACTGGTTTCCAGTTATTTATGAGCAAATAAACCCTAACCGCTGTAGTTGAAATGTTGCCTGGTCAAGTGAAAATACAAACGATGCCTGATCATTCTCTCCCCGTGTTAAAATTTTTATAAAATCCACACAATGTCCTCAATTCACTCAAGGAACTATTCATCATATACAACCAATACCAGCTTTCTCAGTAATTTCAAAGCATAAGCCAATGATTGCAGATCACATGATTAAGACTACAGTTTATTCAATATGTCTCCAATTGTTAAAAAAGATGACTGAATGGAGTCAAACTGCAAGAAAGTTCCACTGGTAAAGTGCTTTTTTTCCCCTTGTGAAACTATTCATCAACATTTTTTTTTTCAAATCCCGCAATGTCATTTAATCAACACTTGTGTTTCTGAAGACAACCAAGCTTTTTTTTTATTGCTCTTCCCAATTTTCTTTTTGACATAAGAAGGTCACCAGGAAAAGATCAATTTCAGAGTTCCTTGTACCAAAGCCGTTCCATAAGGAATCACAGTTTTTACTGAGCTCTCACTGAACCCTCTGTAAAGCGCTATACAAATTAGCAGGGAGACATATTAAATACAAAGGTCCTTCTGTAAACTGATTCTTTAACTAATATTTTACAAAGCAAATGTAAGTCATCACACATCTTTACATAATTTTGAATAATCCTATTCAATATTAGCAGAAAGATTAAAAATTTGCCCTCCATACCTAAAGGCAGTCTGATTTTGTTTTCCTGTATAAAAACCAAGAGATTTTTTTTTTTTTGCAGCATCACAGAAAAAGCAACAGTTTTACATTCACTCATTTAAATGTTCACATAAAATTTTCAACCACTAGCTTTTGTGTATTTGATAAAATCCGCTCGACAAACTGCTTCTCTGCATCTGGACTGTCACACTAAATACTGCAGGGGAAGATGTACTTCTTTGTGACATTTACCGTTCACAAGCCTTCGCAGCTGAAAAAGCTTTTAACTCCAAAGGAAAATACATCCTTGAAGGTTACCATCCATTCAAATAAAGCAGTCTCTTCTCCAGACTCCTCCAAAAGGTGTAAAGTGATGGGACTCCAGTTTCAAAAAGATACGAGGCATTAAACTATTCCGAGTTGAAATCTTGAGTTTTGCAGATATCCTCTAAGGGTCAACATCATCAAGGTCACTTTTAGGCTCACCAATCATCATGGGAGACTCTGAGCCCTTTCAACAAAAATAAAAAAAATTAAGGAAATTATTTTACACTGCTCTTCAAAAACATACACTATGAAATGTCACCTTAAGGTTAACCGCCCTGACTGCATTCAGTGTTTTATTCCTGCGGCCTGAACCATCAGCCATGTTCCATTCAAGAGGCAAAAACAAAAGTATGGAGTATTAGGATTTTATTAATATGAAGTTAACCGCTGCAATCATGCACCATGAATTGTTAACTTGAGACAACGCTTGATGCATTTCTATTGCTTACCTGCTGTAGAGCTCTCTCTCCGTTCTCATTGGCCGGACTGCTTTCTGATCCATTACTGCTTCCTGACTGATCCTTTTCATTCAGCAAGGCTGTGGCATACGCCAGTGTGTCCTGTGGTGGGACAGGAGGTCAGGAGGTTAGGGGTCTGGGGCAGGGGGTACCCCCTTCTACACTATGCAATGATAGTAGACCTATCGCCACTTCCTTGTTTTCAGAACAGAAAAGGGCTCATGCAGAATCTAACAGATTAATTTAAGGGCTGTCTTCAGGAACAAGCTTCAAGAAGAGGATGCACTCAAGTGTGTGAGTACATGGCGAGGCCAAGAGGAGAGCCACTAAGTGAAGAGCAGGAAAGAGGACTGCAAAGCACGAGCTCTCGTGACTGACAGACCTGTGCAGAAATTGTGCGCTGGAAGGTTTTTGCAGTTGAGGTTTCATTGGACACGTTACTCTGTGGAGCCCAGTAGTGTTCAGACATCTAGATAAAAGCCAAAATAAAAACAGTGCATTAACTGCAGTAGACACTTAACACCCAAGGCTTCAGACGCACCTCAGCAAGAGGGGCCAAAACTCTTGAGGATGAGGCTTTTGAAACACTCTTGGCAGCTGACTGGAGACCTGGTGTCAGCTTCACTTAAATGATCATTTTCAAGTCATGAAAGGCTCCACCAGAGAGGAATAATTCATTAGCACAACAACTGTGGGGCTGTTTTTACAGCAAATTAAGTGGAGAGGCAGCCTGAGATTATGGATCACACAGCAGTGCTGAAGGTCCAAGCCTAACTCAGGTCTGACTGCAACCGCAGGACATGGACCAACTGCTCAGCTTCAAAAAGAGTACTGGGAAGACATTAGATAGTCTACATCAACTCTGAGGGAGCTGGTTCTAGAGATCCCAGCCACAGCAGTGGGAACGGAAGGGGAAAGGACAGGTGTTGCTGCTGAACTGTAATGGGCTGTAGCCACAGCTTCTTGTGGAAGGTGGTTCCCTGCACCAGCAAGATAGTGACACCAGGTTTTCTATACTAAAAATCCCAACATCGGTTCTCTGGCACTGAAAAAGTCCATACATGGCTCCCATGACACAGAGACAACGACTGGTGATTATCACAAATTTAGCACATCCATCATTTGTACTACTATAAGTGTGTATGTGCAAACACGTTAGAGAGATGAAAAATCCAAGCAAAACTTTCAAATGTAACCATGTAGCTATATTACAATAGGTATTACTTAACACACAAAGGAAAAATTGTATGCAGTCCTAAGAATGATCACAAAAACAGATCGAAAAAATAAATTGGTTCCTAAAATAAGCCAAGCAAAATCGGATCTTACAGAAGTCTGGTTGCAAACACAGCTAGGGAAAAAAAAGACAGACTGCTTCTCTATAACATTACCTTCTTCTGCAGCCACTGTACAGCCCAGCTCCAGTGATGTGAATTCTCCTTGAAATAGTCTTTTGCAGTTGGGCACCTTGGAAATTCAGAGTGCGTTTATTATCCACAATTAAAGCAATTCAGGCAAATGTGAAATGCAAGGGCAGAAAAGAGAGCCCTTCATACATACTAAAGAAATCACAGCCTTCTCTGCTGTCCTCGCAAATGTGGAGTCTTAATATATGATAGCCAATTCTTCAAAAAGTAACTGATGCTAATAGTATTTATGCATACATAAAATAAATGAGAATAAAATTTTATACAAGGCAGTTCGTTACCTGAATTCAACCCATTCAAATGTAAAGATGAACCAGCGGCATCATAAATTAACAAGACAGGATAGGACTTATATACTGTAGGATCTAATATGACTTTCTCCAATTCATTTGCCAGGATCTGTTTGTCCTTTTCCTGCAAGATTTGGCATTTCCTACAGAATACAGTTGTGTTGCTTTGACTTGAAATGCTGGTGTTAAACAGCTGTTTCAGGAGAAAAGTGCCCCAGGTAGGTAAAAACTTCACTCCCTCACTAGAGCACCGTGCGCCTCATTTTCAAGGTATCAAGAAAGCTTCCAGGATGACTTCAGAGGCAGGCCTCTGAACTACAACTGCACCACAGTGACCCAGCCTAAAGAGGACACTGCAAGACATGACAGCAGCCAAGGCAGCAGGGAGGATTGAGACTGGTTGAAAATAGTGACACTTATTATGGAAATTTTACATTACAACGACTTACTTCTGAGCAAGAGTAACCAGGAACTTGACACACTGATAGCAGCGACTGCTATCCACGTGATTACTATGGTGCATCAAAGCTGTGGAAGAAATAAGAGTATTGAAAAGATGATTGTTTTGTGCCAACAGGAGCTACAAACTCATTTGAGAGTCACGTTCAAGCAAAAAAAAAAAAAAACCAAAAAAAAAAAAAAACCAAAAAAAAAAAAAAACCAAAAAAAAAAAAAAACCAAAAAAAAAAAAAAACCAAAAAAAAAAAAAAACCAAAAAAAAAAAAAAACCAAAAAAAAAAAAAAACCAAAAAAAAAAAAAAACCAAAAAAAAAAAAAAACCAAAAAAAAAAAAAAACCCAAACAAAAAACAAAGGCCATGCCATAATTTCATTTTAGATGCAGCTTCCAGAAATGAATTCTGCAGATGTTAACATGATTATGTATATTTTAAATGTACCACTGTACTCATTCTGTTCAGGATTTTCTAAATGTTACTACACTTTCTTATTGATTAAAAGACATCAAAAGGAAAAAAATACACAATTTATCTGAAATCCATGTACAGTGTATTAAAATGTTGTTGTGCTGTTATATTCCTCTCATCTATCTTACAAAGGAACCTTTACATGGTTCCATCCTACTAGGGAACAAATTATGTTCCCAGTTAAAACCAGATATGAGAACCAGATGACAGAACTTTTGCTTAGATCAAAAACTTACAAAGCAAGAAAGCCATTTCTAACTCCTCAAAATGTAAATGAAAGCAAAATTTATCTCCTTGTAAGCCCCCCTCAGGAGGATGAGGAAAAGTACAACAAGGTATTACTAACCATCTAAGAAACTCACCATACAAAAATGAAATTGCCCCTGAATTTTATGACAAACCTTATGCTGGACAGATGCAGGGAGAAACAGCTGTTAGATCTGCCTGAAGTAGGCTTGGGACTCAACAAGTATGAACAAATGTACCTTTTAATAGCCTAAAAAAGGGGAGAGGGAGCTCCCTTTGCAAGTGGACATCAACGCCTATAATCTAACTTTCCCTAGTCGTACAAACTACTAAACAGCCCCAACGCTGACCCTGAATAAAATGGGATTAAAATTGAACCATCTTTGCTACACTTGAATTGCTACATGATCATGCAGATGTAACAGTTACATCCAAATGCTTACATCGATATCCTCGGATATGGATATAATTGTTGCATCTGTCTATATCCAAAGGCTGTTTTGTTTAGATCATAAAGCAATGAAAACTGGCAAGCCAGCTGAACTTTTCCCAGAGAGCTGTGAACAGCTAGCTCCTGTATTCTTGAAGTTTGAGGGATGTTTAAAGTTATCATACTGACATAGGTGTACATTACGTCCAAATGCCTTCTGTGGGGCTAATGGAAAGACTCTTGTTCTTTAATTTCCTTTCTTGGAATAAGACCTTCACTAGTGCAAGAGATGTGCCAGGTCTTAGCTGCACAGATACGGGAGGTAATTTCAGTGCTACTGCAAGGGCTTTTTAGGCAAGACGACAACATTTTATGTTCAATACAAAGAGCTCTCCCAAAGTTGTAGAAAATGTCCAATTTAGTAACGTGTTATAATAGGCTTACAGTTGGCCTACTTGCCTAGCAAACCTTTATCAGTTTCAAATGCAAACTTGATCCGGTCTACTTGTAAGGGGTCTTCAATAACCTGTGAAAGAAAGGAAAGATGGGTAGATTTTAGAGTTCTAAAGCAAATGTAAGGCAGTTTTACAATCTACAGCCATAGTCTCAGATGCTTCAGATTTCTATATAAAATGCACTTACTTAGTTCCAAAATGAGAAACAAAACAAGTGTTTCGCTGATTATTGTTGTAAAAATGAGGCAACTTCAACAGAGTAAAAGCCTTCGCTGAGAGAAGGCAACATTACAACATTAGTGAGCGTAAGAACCACGATAATAATGCCTTCCTTCAGTGAGACAAGGTTCCTTGGGTGAATTTGATATCTTTTATTAGACCAACCCAAATAGTTGGAGAATAGTTATTAAGCAAGCTTTCGGGTTCAAAAACCTTTCGTCAGGCTAAGGAAGTTTCAGCAGTTGGTGTGAGCTCTTCCTGGATGGACGAACTTGTATCCAATCCAGCCTACTCGCACAACGTTTCATAAAAAAGTTTTTCCTTTCCACCTACCAATATCTCATGAAGTAACTGGAATGTGTTCTTCAGTTCATGAGGTGGAGCAGTTTCCAGCTGGTTCTGTACAGCAGAAAAAGTTCATCAGATGATGAATAAATACACCAATGTTCAAAAATACACTGGATGTTTAGCTTGAAGAAACTTGGAAGAACATTTTATCTTTTTTTAAGAGATAAAAAACTCTTAAGGAATTGTACCCATGCCAAAAAAGTTACAGCATCCATCAGGACACAAGCTTAAGTCCAAAGATAGGACAGATCATCACATTGAAAGCCTACTTTGACTAGCTTCATACCTTGATGAAATGTAGCATGGTGAAGGAAAAGTGCTCATTACAAAAGCAGCAGTATACCGCCATCTCAATGAGAGCTGACAGCGATCCAGTTAGCTCCCGTAAAGCGTGCATCACCTATGAAGAGATACATATAATTGCAGATATAATTATAATCGTTGAGTCTTCGGTAATATTCTGTGGCACTGTTGATCCCTATCTTTGCGAAGCTTGCCTTCAGTGAGAATTTGGCTTGCAAGTACACTACTGAACTGCTGCAGCACAAAAAAAAAGGACAGATGAGAAGTTTTTAGGAGTTGCGTGCTTTTCAGCTGGTTGCTTGTCAACGTTTCCTTCATACCACAAATGTAACATTATTTCAAACAAATCATCAGGTTTTAAGTACAAAAACCTCTGTGGAATTCAGAGCAACAGCTACCTCCATTAGATAAGGCTTCCCTTCAGGCAAGAACAACAAGGCTTCCACTTCTTCATGGAGGGCCAGAAGTGGACCTGAGGCAGTGATGCTGAGAGGTGGACGTTGTTTAAAGAGACCAGGAGCTAAGACAGAAACAAAAAACACATCCCAGAGATATACACACCACACAGTTCTAAATAAAACTTCAAAAGCTAGCAGTTCGTGACAACCTTTTGCTATGGTTGCCTCTGCTGGTAGCAAACAGTTAAGGGCATACATGGCAAATATTGTACCCCATATCACATACCATTGCTTGAGCATAAAAATGAGTCTATTAGTATTAGTATGTTATCAGGATATAAATTGCTAAAGTACCAAATCAAAGTACCCGTGCATGCTAATTTTTAGGACCTTCTATCCATGTTTTAATTATACTGTTTATCTCAGGCTCAGGGGTTTCAACAGTGCCTTCCACCATCCAAGTGCTTTACAGAGCGCAACCCATCTCAGTTTGGGAAGTTTACAGCACAATACAAAACAGTAGTTATTCTTTAGGATGGAGGCTGGGATGCCTTTCAACTTCCTCCTCAACCCTGAGGATCAAAGCTTCTATTTTAGCCCCTTCCACAACCCATTATTTGGATAGCTATGTCCTTCCAGCTGAAGCATTCAGGCTAGTTATTCTATCATGCCTAATTGCTAAATGTTCTTTAGGGTTTAAAAACCATATGGAAAATACAAGAAGAATATAATATCCAGGACTGCTCACAGCAGGCTGCAAGCGTAGAGTCTGGTATAGTCGTAATCTGGCCACACGTTTAGGTGATTAATGGCATGATAAAACTGGAAACCAGCCACAAAGATATTACAGAAAACATGTGTAATAACTTTGCAGATGGCTTCCATCACACTTTGAATTTGCAGCGGTTGGGGGTTCCCACTGGCCAACAATCACCTGATCATCTGCAAGATCAGGACTACCGTCCCAATCAGCTGACGACTGGCGGATCCAGAGCATTCTGGGGTTCAAGATGTGGAGCGCTTCCGATCTGTCAATCATCAAGTGTCTGTCAGCTGGCTCTGGAGACTGCACAGGGCTTCAAACTGGCCCTGTGGGTCCCCAGAGCCAGCTGATAATCAGCTGATTGTTGGGCACCTTGTCAGGGCAGGGGCACCAGCTATTATGACATGATTGGGATATGATCCTCGATCTCAAAATAGTGCCTTCTGCCATTTGTGTGTGGCATGGCAGGAGGTGTGACTGTTGGGATCACAGATCAGGTCCCACTGTGCCTTCAAACGAACATCTGTCAGAGGCCAGAGTACTGCGTTACATGCCTATTTTTTCCTCACCAATGACAAAATTAGTTCCAACTTTGACTGCAACAGTAACATGCTAGACAGAGGATGAAAGGCAGTTCTTACCCATGCTCCTCTGCAAGGAGACGTCAGAGTGCAAAACAAGCAGCGCCACAGTATTGTGAAGGTATCCAAACTCACGAGCTTGTGGTGAGCTCCACCTGCGGTTCTGGGCAGCAAAGAAAGAAGGCCACACTTTATCCACTGATACCCGTCAGTGACATGTCTGAAGAACCCCCATCTGAAACATTTTCAACTTTGCAAGCCAGTAAAAACTTCCTTTTATTAAAGGCAGTAATGATGCACTCAAACCAACAAACCTACTATGCACCAATTCCTACAGACACCAGGGGGAGTTTAAGCACAGTTTTAACCAAAGACAGCAAAGTATCAAAAGGGAATTATTTTTTATTTTTAAACTAACAACAACTACAAAAAATTCTCATACTTAAGTCAGAGGACAAATATGGGAAAAGACAAAATCAACAAACCCAAGTGCGCAATATGCGAAACACAGGCTTTACCTGGTTATTCTGCCGGTTGGGGCCAAGGAGGAAGTTGATCATATGCCTTAAGGCAGAATGTCTGAGAAGAAGATCGCTAGCCCTTATGCCCTGCTGTTAAAAGACAAAACCAAGTTACATCCTTGCATGTGTTGAGAAATATGGGCCAAGAGGGAGGAAATCATCTGCCCAGACTATATGCTAAATTCCCTACTTTCCCAAGTGTTACCTCATCATTACCTCATTTGTATAGCTGTGGCCTTCCAGCTGAAGCATCCAGGCTAGTTATTCTATCATGCCTAATTGCTAAATGTTCTTTAGGATTTAAAAACTATATGGAAAATGCAAGCAGAGTATAGAATCTAAGACTGCTCAGTAGGCTGCAAGCCTGTAGGGTCTGGTAGAGTCTCAGAATGGGTCTGACTTAATTTGACATCAATAGTCTATGACACACAAAGAGCACTTTAAACCACACATTAGATTTAATTCAACATTAGTTGCTCGTAACCTGTGTGTGATATAGACAAATGGGAATTGTAGAAATAGCACTAACCTGTCAGCTATTTAACTTTCAACTGAAACTTTGTCCTCATTTGTTTTTTAATGAATTAAAATGATTACATTGAGACTTTGGCAGAGCTGGACTCCTTGTAAACAGAAGTATACAAATGCAGGATGATTATTTTTCTGTCCTAATGGCTTAAAAACTATTACAGAACTAGAAGCTTCACTCAAGGATTCTGGAAAATCCTCTTTACCATTGTTATCTAAAGCAGTGGCGATCCACCTCTGGCTCATGGGGCTCCCCACAGGCCTGGGCATTTGGCAGCACTGGCAGCGTCTAGAGCTGTAGCAATTACCACAGCCATAGCTCCTCCACCACCAGATTTCTGAACCTGTGGAGGAGCCTCATGGGGTGGATGATATGGTCCCGCATGCTGGATTGTGGCAGTACCCAGGGGTGGGCCAGTACACAGGCTCGCACTTGTGGACCAGCCCTGTGCCACTCATCTGGCCCATGGGGCTGGACAGGTTGAGCACCATTGATCTAAAGCATGTTACACAATACTTTTTTTACCCTTTCAAAACTAACAAATATACCAAGCTATTAGTTTACCTTTTGTACAAAGTTGTTGAACAGTAAGAAGTACTGCGCACAGTTTTTACAGTTCTCGGGAACATCTTTATCCAACAAAGCAAGTAGCACCTCAAGTAACTGATGTAGACTTTTTAGCTGTGAAAAAACACAAATTTAGGTTAAACTAGCAAGTCTACAGTAAAAAAAAAAAAAGTCAAAAGACTCCCAATATCAAATATAAATTGAAACCATAACTGTGGCTTCAAGTAAGATGCACTTATGACGATTATAAAGAATAAAAACAGGATATGTCTATATGAGACACTTTACCCCACAGCAAACTAATCTGCTGCACAGTAAACTGTCATTGTCTACACATGTGCAGCAATTAGTGTGCAGTAGACTAATTTACTGCATTGCTGGATAGTCCTGTCAGATACAAGTGGCATCTGGCAGCACAGTAAATTACTGCACTTAAATGCGCATGTAGATAGCAATGTCAGGATTAGTTTACTCTAGCTCAAACTGCGCTAGAGTATATTCAGTCACATTAGCTGCACGTGTAGATGCACCCAGTTAGACTTTGCTTTACACCCTTCCAATGGAGTAATGTTGGAGGGCTTAAATTGCAAGCAATGAAAATGGGGTATCACCACCCAGCACAGCATGCTCAAAGTAACAGAACTTTGTTCCATTTTACTGCAGGCTTTAATTAGATTACTTTTCACACAGTGGCCTAGAGGATAGGTCTGTTTTCTCCTTCCCACTAGACCAAATTTATTCCATTATAAAGAAGCATTTATTGACAAAATCAATGTGCAAAAGTAGAGAGTTAATTCAGAGGGTAAACAATAATTTAACAGTAAAGATTGATTTTAAAAGTTTGCTAGTAACTCATAAAAATATGCTACTGATGCAGCACGGTGATCACATTTACTCAAATGCTTTTACAAGGGACATTTGCAGGACCAAGAAAATCATGGAAAGGGTAAAAACTTGGAGAAATACACTTACGAAACAAGGAGTTTCTAACTTTTTGGGGCTTTTCCTTGTGGTAAACTGCCTATAAAGAAAAACTGTGCTAAAGCTACCTGCTGAGATTCTCTTATTCAAAACACCCTCTGGCACGTACCCATCACATCAACATTCACTTTAGGTGGTTCAAGCGCTCCTGGCAGAAGCTGTCAGTTTCAAATGGAGAAGATGCAGCCATATATTCAGCTTTTTAAAAAATAGAAAGCATCTTGCTTTTACTGAATCCGATCACTTTAAGTTAAGGTGGTATGTCATTCATCAGCATATTTCACTGTTATTTATACAGCTACAGTGCTGGCTAAGATCTCGTGACTGTGTACTGGACAAGTCACACTAGGACACTTGTACTGTGCTGATGTAGCTAGGAGTGAGCAAGTATGAACAGATACAAGACAAAGAACAAGAACATGATTTGAAGCTTCTCGCTCTGGTCATTGACAGAAGTGCGTGGTACTTGCTGGAAATATTGACAATTGTATCATTAAAAAAAAAAAAAAAATCAACGTTCTGAATGAACATGAAGCATCACTAACCTTATCCTGATGGAGCAAGGCACTGTCTAGAGTCTTTTCAAGAACGGTAGCTACAGCAACTCTCACCTCTCTCACACTGCACTCCAGCAGGAAAGTCCTAGAAAATACAGAAAGAAGCTGAAGGAGGCTTGGGACCAGTTTTTTGTTTACCTAGCTATACCCTTACTTCACCTGTATGTTCAGAATTTATTATTTAGAAGGCTAACAGCTGAGTCTTGTGCATCACAACTGATATTTCTAACATTTTCATCTAAGCATCAATCCTGTTCCTCCCCCCCAGCTGAAAACAAAGACCCTTAAATTTGATGTTTTGTTTGAAACACAAAAGGTTAGAGGGAATGTCAACTTTTAATTTCTAAGCATCTGCCAGTGAATATTATTGCTACTTAACCAGAATTGTACTAAACTGGACAGGTGAATAGAAACAGAATAGCAGATGAAAAGCTAACTCTGGACTATGGGATAAAGTTTCCATGGTAGAGAAACCACTGAATATACTGCTTAAGGCTATACTCTGGCTCGTCTACAGCTGGAACATATATTACTTTGGCTGTTACTGACAAAAGCAGCAGAAAAAGTTTCATCGTACATTTAATATGCTGCTTTGTACTGCTGCATACTTCACCACAATGCAGTTGCACTTTCTTCCAAGTCACAAGCGCTGTTAATACAAGAGGCACAATACCGGAAGGTGTGCCTGAATAATAAAGGCTAGAATACAAGCCTCTAGATTTAGTGCACAAATTGTAGCACATACTCAGAAGGCAAATCAGAGCTTCATTTATAACCTCTCCAAAACAGAGTTATTTCTCAGGTGAGAGAGTCCTAGGGAGGAGAAAGCCTCTCTAAATAGGCTTTGGTCTTTTCCCCTTACATCTAACAGGCAATCAGCTGTATGTATTCTTGCTGAAAGGAAAGGGGCCTATTAAGTAAAACTACAAACCTAGGAGAAAAATGACTCTTTAAGGAGAAAACCTCATGACTCTCTCAGAGTTTAAATTAAAGCACTTCAAGTGAAAATGTCTTGGATGCAAGATGATGCTGTTTTCTTACCACCTTAAAACAGAAAGTCATTATTAAATGAAAACTTGGAGCTGTCTACTAATTTGTTATAGCTAGCAGAGCAATGACCTGGATTTACTATGCTCCAAAGGGCTGCTCTGCAGGTCTCTACTGAGACCTCAGAACAGCGCAAGATAAATCCAATAATCTGCAAGGAGGATTTAATATATACGTTGCTAAGAAATAACCTAGGTTGGATAAGCTTTTGTAAACAACAGCTTCCTGAAAAGCTGAAAGATGGAAAATAACTTGAATACTCAATGAGTGTAGTTCTGAAATGAGAACCGCCTGGCATGTTTTGATGGTTTTGTTTCTGGAACATGAATGGCTAACCCCTCTATTAAATGTAATAAATGTGGTTTGTTACCACCCCCCAAAATAACAAATGTCATGGCTCATGCTATTTAGGAACTTTGCTGCAGAGGAAACCAGCAAGTGCTCAAAACGGTCAGGCAATATACTTCAGCTTCCCCACTTTCTTCATAAGGAAAGCACTACATTGAGGTTACTTATGAAAGACCTGTGCAGTATTTAAACACCGTTTTCTTCTCCCTTTCTCTTGCAGCACCAACTACTCACCCCCACTCCCCTGTTGCACATCAGAGAAACTGTACAAAAGCTGGATTAAAAATTCTGTCAACTCATGTGACTATCACTATTTCATTAAATGTACTGGTTTCTGCCAGAAAAATCAAGCCTATAATACCACAAGCAAAAATTAGAAGTGATGAGATGACTGATGTATGATTAAGAGATATGAACATAATGAAAGGTGATTTTGCTTCTAACAGAAGGTGACAGACTATGTAATCAACTGTTAACTGTGTCGACAAGACTGATACTTACTTTACAAGTTCTCGTCCCTCTGACCCAACCAAATACTCAACAAGCCACTGACAAGCATCAAAACTTTTAGAAAGCAAAGCATCAATGGTAGCAATCCATTCTTCTGTATCAGACCTTTAACAAAACAAAGACAGCAGGATCAGTATAGCCTCATCCCAAATATTCAAATTAATATTTTTTTTTCTTCTCTGGTAAATTCTGATCTGGTCTCTCAAAGTAGTCTCTTTTCTGATCAGTGCCACACATACCAAATAAAGGGGACAGGTCTGGCTTTTTCTTGGGAAACTATCTTTTGAACCTGCTCCCACAAATAAACCTTAGCATTAACTACCTAGAGTAAGTGAGATGTGCTCACTATTTCACCTGTCTACAGAGCCCAAAGAACTCATAGAAATGGAATTTTCCAGGGCAAAATAGTCAGTGAAATTTGGGCATCAAGTTCTACCCTTGGTTGAGGCTAAGCATTTATATACCAAAACACTCATAAGATGGGTTCCTGACAGTTACAGAGGGTGCAATAACCAGAATATAAAGCTCACTGAACAATATAATGTCTTTCTACACATAAAATATCAGAATTTAGCACTCTTCATTCAGAACGTTGAAGCTCTGATCAGCATACTTGTATTTAAATCTCTAGGTTCCTTCCACTTCAAAATGATTTTATACAGGTGATAATCCTAGAAAGACAACTGAAGTAGAAAGTTAGCTGGCAGCTTACACACAGCCCTTTTATCAATAACTGATTTGGTGTTATGGAAATTTAACTTGTATTTAGAGCAATAATTTTGGGAAATGTTGCTGTGCTAACGAGTATCCATGGGAGCTGGGGTATTAGGAGTTTTAAATGAAGTACTTCAAAGGGTTACACAATTTACAAATCTTATGAGGTCTGGGCATAATGCTCTGAAATAATTTCTTACCTGAGTTTTTTCTTGGTTCGTAGATAGGTTTGGAACAGGAACTGGACGGCTAGCTGTAAGCTCACCTTTGCCATACATGCATAATATGGGTGTTTTACTTTGGTCTACAACAAGTAACAAAATTATTCCAGGCTGCAATACCATTTTGCAGTTCAGGTTTATATAGCAGATGGCTTCAACACAGAATAATAATGAACTTTAAAAATCTGTGACATTTTGAAGGACACTGGAAGGTTGCAAATTATCATCTCCTGGTCCACTCCTGTCCAGGACATGTTAAACTACCTGGAACTAGGGTCATATCTTTGGTAAAAATTTAAACTAAATTTCTGGAAGAACCACCAAGTCCACTGTCATAATCCATTTATTGCTCTATTACTCTGAGTAGATAGGACTGTACAGACTGGCTACCCTGGACAATGGACCTAAACATCCGTCTCTCGACTTGGACAATGTCCCTTTAGCAAGCACAGATATTTTACAGAAAGTTCCAACTCCTTCAAAAAGAATTATGGAGGTGACTATTTAATCCTTCCACAGAGAGAAGGAATTCTACCCAGGTAGAGTTCAGAGGCCTGCATCCAATTAAAAAGAGTGCAAGTCATAATTCTGCAAGTTTTACTTCAGGGAAATGCCAATTATTTCCATGGTCAGGAGCAGGAAGATGGCACCAGCTTTTGATGGAATGCTGTCACTTGGAAATGACTACTGACGGCTTATAGTTTGTGGAACCAACCCCCCCAACATGTCACACCCCCTCCCAAACCCCACAGCTGGAACCCAAATATGTTCATAGTACCATAGGATTAATAATCCAGCTACTTACGGCATTCAGCGAGGCTAACGACAGAACAAAACTGAAGTAGTCACTACTGTACACATCTCTATTCTTCATGAATTTCAGATTCTCATCTCTCACCATCTATGGGCAAAATGCTGTTTAGTAACAGAAGGCAAAAGACTTGCACTTGCATATTAATTAGACAATCCTAAATTCTACTCCTAAAATGCTTAACTAATTTGGCTGTGCTCTGAACTCATTGTCCAGATTTTCAGGAAAAATACTACTGAGAAGTTTCCAAAGAAAAACAAAACCAAACCACCAAATTGATAATTTACTGACCTGGCCATTAAAAAACCCCTCTAGTTCTGTTTATATTGAAGAATGTCAAGAAACAACAGGCTAAGAAACTGACAGTTAAGGATTAAAAATATATGCTGAACAATCTGCTGAGATGCAGTTATCACCTTCAACAAATCACCATGATACTGTGCCTGCAGAGTTTGGCCCCATCTAAGTGGGGTTCACAAAATGTGTTGCAGTAAGGCTGAAACGAGTTCTGGTTTCTGTGACTAACTGCTCATGCTTTGTGACAATACCTCTGTCTTTCAAGCTTAACAAGTCTACTTCATTCTTCTTTTCAAGGCCCTACATTTTCTTCTGCCTCTAGGCTTCATCTCATCTCCTACTGGTCCTTCTCACTGCCCTCATTGTGCTGCTCTCTCATAAGGATGCTCTAAAGCAGAACAGTCGAAGACAACCTCCAGTTATCATCAAACACTCTCTACTTTTCTCCAAACCTGCGCCAAGGAATTCAACATCTCTATTTTCAATAGTCATCTATCCCTCAACTGCATGCGAATTGTTCTTGTGCGTCATGTTTGTCTTTTGCCATAAATTCTTCAGAGCAAAGAACAGATAACTGTTTTTGAGGTACTAAGGTAGACGGTATAGTGTACAGTTTATAAAAATATATTTATTGGCACTGGATTAACAACTGCATAGGATCTGAAACATTTTCCAGCTTTGTCCTGATTTGGTATTTAAAACAACAAAACTACAATAGGATCATTTTCAAATCAACATATTTCTTCAATTATACTTAAGGATCAACTGACCTGAGCAGCATTCAACTATTTTTTGGTTCTTTACCTGATATATCCGCACAGGCATTTTCTCTACAAAGAGCCCTTTCTTCTCCCCTTTTCTAACTAATTTAGTCAAGATGGAGAGACGGTCACTGCTGGGTCTGTGGGGTCGAGGTGATGACTGAGGTGAAATTTCTGGTGAAGATGGAGCAGATCTAAGGAAAAGAAGTTTAATACCAATAATTAAATTCCACAGTAATCTTGCAATGCAACTTCCAATACATCAATAGGATAAATGTGCACCTGAAGGGCATTGTTCCTTATATTTAAATATATTTGTATAGGCTGTTAAGGTCTGAACTGGCTGCAATAGGGATGAAACACAGAAGTACTTACTCATGGAAACAATAAAATACCCATAAGTAGCTTAAAAAGATAGGGCAGATAATATAATCCTTTAGAGATGGGAGTTATTTTGTTCTTAATTTTATACGTAATGGCGGCCTCTACACGAGCGGCTGACTGTGCAGTAACCAGCATTACTGTGCAGCCCTGTTGCTGCATGATTTATTTTTAGACAAATACTGCACAGTAGCTCATTACTACTGTGCAGTAGCATCGCCATCACAGTTTGTGCCCAACAAAGCTGTGGCACTGTAGCAATGAGCTACAGCGCAATAGCTCGTTGCTACTGTGCTGTAGTGTCTCGTATAGATGAGCTTAGTGTGCAAGTATGACGGCACTGGAAATGACCAACCCAAGGAGACAGGAGGATAAACTTACAGAGAGAGATCCTCAGCTTCTTGACGTACAACACTAACTCGGCTTTTCTTTGGTAAAACAGGAGAGTTTTGATCAGAGACTCTCTGGTAGAAGAGCATGTAGGCATTCCAGTAACGCCGACGCACATCAGGGTAAGGGTTAGCTTTAAGGAAAAATAATACTCTTGTCAGTCTTTGTAGGTTTGATTATCCTTTTTAAATTCCTGCAGTGGATGCAACTCAATGTGCACCAAATGGAAAAGGCACACATTTTGCATGCCTCAATTTTACATGAGGCATCACATGTAAAGTACTACTCAATTTTAATGAGCTCCACACAGTCAGTCAATATGTGGGGAACAAAATCATATTTTAAATTTTGTTTTACGTAAGACCTTTCACAAAGTTATTTAGACTCACCATACCTTGGTGTAGATTCACCAATTACTTCCCACAATGAGTTGAGTGAATAATTAGAAAGACTTGTTAGAAATTATGGTTTAAAATGGTGCAAAGTTCATCAGGCCAGATTCTGCCATGTCCTGCTCCTTGGGCAGTTATTTACATCAACGCAAGGTAAGTAGGAGCTTTTGCTTTTCTGACTTAGCAAGCATTCTGTTTACAAATTGGACCTGGTATAAACAAGCAAACAAGGTGCTGGACCACAGTGCATTTGGTTCAATCTGGTTCAATCACTATTATTTGACCACTCCTACAAACAGTCGACTAGTAAAAGGCAAGACTATTAAGCTTGCTTGGGTGGGTCACTTTGGACTAGAAGCTTTTTCTTGGGCCATTAAGTCCAGTCCCTTTGCATCTGCAAGCAAACATTCATCCAACAAGTCCTAAAAACTGCCCACTCTGTCGTGTCACACACCATGACTGAAGTATCATTGAAAACATTTTAAATCTAATCAGTCACAAAATATCAAAGTGTTAGGCCACTAATACAACAGAATGCATCTGGATGCAACTGTGCTAATTCTAAGTGAGTTAGTATGGAATATACAAACTGCTGTTAAACTATCCCCTATTTATACTTACATTGATCATAGACTTTAGGTCTATACTCTCCGCCAAAACATTCATATTCTAAGGTTTCATCAGTTAACTCAAATTCTTCAACAACGGTGTCATTAAATTTGTACCATTTTCCTTTTCCACATCCCCTGCGACAGAACAGACAGATGCAAAATGGCAAGCTAAGTCTGATTCCCTTAAAAATAATAATACCCCGCCCCCACCCCCTGAAATGGGAATCCTGGATTTGTGTCTGCTTTAATGGTGAATAAGAATAGCTTAGCATTATGGTATTTCTTAAAACTAGTGTAATAAGATTTAAAGAACAAAGACACATACTATAGCTAATATTCAAATCTCATACAGAAGCTGAACTTGCAAGATGACACTGCATGGAGCCCCTATGATATTAACTGGACTCACTTTGGTTCAGATGTTTCAGCTTTTTTCCACAACCACGTATTTTTTACTCCTATAACACTCAGCGCCTGTGGGTAGCTTTAAAGGGATTGCTACACTTGAAAAAATGTATTGCTCCTTTTAAAGCCAATACCCTTCCTCAGATCCAAATGTTTTGTTTGTCTAGACCCATTGAAAGATACAGTCTTCCACTTCATTACCTCCTGTCCTTAATAAAGGAATAGTAGTGCCCTGCGTGTGCCTGGCCGCTGTGCACAATCACACCAACGAGCTCGTAGTTTTCTGTAGGGGCAACTTTTTTCCGTGGGGATCCTCCACCTCCCTGATCTGTGTTTCTCCCATTGTCACCAACTTCTAAGGAGGAATCTTGGCGAGCCATTCCTGACACTGTGTAAGGCTCCATGTTCAGCATCCATGGGAACTGTGTGACATCAAGAACATTTCAGATAAAGATAGCAACACCCCATACAGAATCTTAATTTAATGTAATTGTATTAAAAAGACTGAATATGTAAAAATTGTGCTGGAGCTGTGTGCCCTTGTAAGGTAAAAAGTATCCAGCATGTCTGTAAGGAAGTTTTTCTTCTGCCTTCCAGTCCAACAAGGACTGAGGAACTCCCTGGAGAGTTCAGACAGGGAGCTCGCATTCAGACATTAGCACTGTACAGCAGGTAAATTAACCATTCTTTATGATAAATTGACAAATCTTTTGGGTGCAGGGAGTAGAGGATGAGAAGGGTTATTTCAGAGTCTGGCCAATGGGGCAAACAGAGCAATGTTCTTACCCTTATCTGTTCATCATATTTGATGGATCGTCCACTTTCCCAATCAAATCCAAACCTCATCAGGTGGATCACCAAGACACTGGGGAGAACTTTAATGCAGGTGCGTTTCACTGTCGTTCTCTTAAAGAGAGAAGAAAGTCACCTGTTTAGATGCTTATTATAAAGTGATCTATAAACTCCTCTCTAGTGTAATTTCCAAATATCTAAATTGAGTACACTTTGCTTGATAGAAGTAGGAACACGAGTGAAAACCATTTGTAAAATCTAATGAGTTATCTAGCTTTGTACTCAGAATCCTTTTTCTCCTCTCGAAGTCAAGAGTGCGCAACATTAGAGTTACAAGGGATGGAGGTTGATGCTTGTTTAGGGCTACAGAATGATTAATTACAAGGCAAGAAAGATATTGCTCTCATTCTAAATTAATTGTCGCTTCCTACATGCATGCAACACACAAGTGGCATTTGTTAAGACAACTGTTGCTTGTCATGACTACATAACATGTAAATTTAATCATGGTTTCAAACAAAAGTAAAAACAGTACCTTTTCTTTACACTTCTCACAGTAGTAAGCATTACTTCCCTCCAGAACTTCTCCTCTAACAAACTGGTCCAATGATATTTCCAGACTCTGGCATGAAGTAACTCCTAGATTGAGAGCCATGAAGGGCTCCTCACGCTCATACCTAGATTCAAGGAAAAAAAAAAGATAGTGAAAAATTAATAAAACCTATTTGATTTAGGCTTCATGTCCTACATCACTTTTAGGCTGTTAGAAGAAAGAGCTGGGAATAAAGTAGACGTGGAATTTATTCCTCATTCTACTACTGCTGTGTTAAGTGACCATGGACTGTATCCCCCTACACATTCGTTTTTATAAAGCTGAACAGCCATCTTTGAAAAGCAAAATCTTTACAATAGAAACAACTCAATTATTTGCTATTTGACTTGTTATAAGTGACCACCTACTAGTGAGTGGTCTCTCTGTCATTTTGCTCTTGTGGTTTAACAGAATCTGGTAATTAGAACAGATGACTATCAAGGTATTCCATGATTTTAGATAACATGATAGTAGAATTTTTAGTCAAAGATTGTTTGCAAAGCAGCTTTCTGGCTTACTATTAAAAAAACTGGAAACACCAGATAGTATTGTACAAGTAGGAGAGATGCATATAAATCCTGCTTATGGATGCTAATCATATGAGCTATTTTAACCAGATTTATATTCATGTATTGTAAATTCAGGCTGAAGGAAAGTGGTTTTGAATTCTAAGCTATCAGGAGGCAGGTTTAGGAAATTGTGTTGTACAGGGCAAATGATCAATGAATATTAATAAAGGGGTTTGCCATGTTTAGAGTCTAATGAAGCCGAGAGTCAAACACCTCTCTGTTTATGCAACAAACCTGGTAAATGTCTTGACAGCAAAGAACTCTAGCAGACTGACTTACCCACCATATTACTTGCTCACCTGTGAGGACAGTCCTTACAGATCTTCTGGTCAGAGAAGACGCCCTGAAATGTGTTCTTAAATACTTGGTCTCGACCTATTTTCTGTTGAGGTAGAAAGGATTAGTAGTGGTATACAGAGAAAACTATTCTAATGTACTTCAAAAGCAAATACAAAAATGTGCAGTCGTAAAACAAAACCCCCAAGTACACGAGTTCCACTTGCTACGATGTCAATTTACTGACACTGCAAATAGAATTAAAGTGGGGTTGCCAGTTTTCATGCTAAGGATTCAGCATGGCAAGAATTACATTGGCTTAAATGTCTATGAAAACAAAACGTATCCATGCCTGAATTCTGAAAACCATGAGCAAGCTATAGAAATAAACTAGCTTAGCTGATTTAAAGAGTTACCCCTAAAAGTTGTAAGCATCTCAGTCTCTCAAAAGATTCATACCATGGGAGACCACCCAAAATATAAGATGTGTTGAATGAAAGATCGATAGAACAAAAATTAGGGTTCATCTTAAGCTTCCAATTTTTACTGCTTTACTTCCCCCAAAGAGTTAGAGACAAAAAAACCCAAACCCACAAAGCTTATGTTTTTACCTTGAGGTATTCATCCATCTGATCTATAAGGCTTGTAAAGAATTCATAGGCATCCTGTTGCTCTCGAACATAAAGTTCTTTATTCCACATCTTGAAAATCTATAAAACACGTAGATTACTATTTCATACATTCACCAACGGCAGAAGTGAAGTTTACCTCTAAACACTGTAAGCAAAACCTCCTGTTTTATATGTAAAGCCCAGAGAGACTACAAAGGAGTAAAAATTGTACATTTCAACTGGCATGAATCAAAATCTCTCATGTTAATTAACTAGGAAAATTATATATGATGAATTAAACAGAACTGATACCTTCCAAAAGTTCTCAGGTACGTAATACTGCAACTTGCTTTCCATCAAATGACCGAAGAGAGACTGAACTTGATAGAATACGTTGTCATCTGGATTGTCTGTATCATCATCAATGGAAAGCAACGCCTTGGGAGGGAGGGAGGGAGGGGGAAGGGGAAATGAAAAAAACAAAATGCAACATGACTTACTTCCAGAAGTACTGCTTAATGTAAATGAAAGTTTTGTCTAGACTCTAAACATGCTTGAACTGGTCATTAGAAGAAAACAGCAAGTTTGAGAATAAAGACTTCAAAATTTTATAGAATTATATTTTCAATTCCCTTTAAAAAAAATGGAGCTTGAGACTACAGTCTATCGCTTCGTACACAAAAACTACACATCTTGAGCTCTCCATCATATTTTACATACCCCACGCTAGAGGACCCAACCCTTTGTTTTGAACCTTAAATGAATTTACAGTAGAGGTAATTAAATAATATTTGACCAGTTTTTAGGATACTCAGTAGCTGACTGAGAAATATCATTTCTTACACGCAATGCACCCTGGAATATAATATGCATCTTGTTTTTGAAAGGCAGAATGAAGGAAAAATTATCGTTCCTTGCAGTAAGTAAAAGAGCAGTACCAGTACGAAGGGAACGAAGCCTCCCTGTGGCTTTCTACAGATTTTACTTTTGCTTTTGAACAGAAACTGCCCTTTACCACAGGGGTGGGAAAAATAAGGCCCATTGCCCAAGATCGCCAGCGCAGCAGGAGCCAGCTGGGCCCAGCTGGCACCATGTGGTTCCCAGCTGCATGGCTGGGACCGAAGGATGCAGCAGGAGCAAGCCCAATGCAGCCCAGCCTGGCCTGGCCTCTGCAGTTCCTGGCTGGCTCCTGTTGTGCTGTGCCCTGCAGTCTCAGCCATGCAGCCAAGAACTGTATGGTGCTGCCTGGGCTGGCTCTGGGAAATGAAGCAGCATGGAGCCAGCTGGGAACCACGGGGGCCAGGCCAGGCTGGCTCCTGCTGCGTTCTGAAGTCCTGGCCACGCAATTGGGAACTGTGCACTGCTGGAGTGGTGGGTGGGCAGGAAGGGAGCAGTGGCAGCACCGGCGGGAAGGTAGGGAAGCAGCAGAGGAAGGGTGGCAGGCAGGGGAAGTGGTGGTAGCAGTGGCAGCAGGCAGGTGGGGGGAAGTGGCAGCGAGCGGGTGGGCATGCATGCAGGGCCGGGGCTGGCGGCAGGGCAG